AGGCGTCAGATTCCCCTGGAACTGGAGTTAAGGACAGTTTGCAGCTGCCATCTGGGTGCTGGGAATCAAACCTAGGTCCTCTGCAAGAGTAGTCAGTACTCTTAACCGCTGAGCCATCTCTCCAGCCCCTCAGTATTATTTCTTTTTAAATGTAATGGTTTACTTGGTGTCAAAATGATCAAAAGCTATGGGGGTGAATGTGCAGTGGATGACACCGTCTGGTAACACGAACAAAGATTTTTGAGAAGAAAGCTGGCTGGAAGGTGGTTGGAAAGGAAGTCACAGAGTCCAAGAGAGGAGGAGGCACCAGGACGTGAAGGGCCTTCACTGCTGTCAAAGATGCTGACTGACCATATTCCTCGAACCTACTCCATTAGCAAGATCCTGAAAACAGGCACAATCCCAAAGGACAAAGGAAACAGGAGGAGGGTAGCAGCCACAAGTTCCAGAGGTGGAAAATTCCAGGGTGAATTGACAGCACAGGAGAAAAATGAATGCTGAGATGTGGTGGCCACAGGGGCGCGGTCCCACTTGTTGCACGGCATCTGGGGCGGAGTCAGGGAGGGGGCTCTAACTGCAGGAGTGCTGCCTCCATGTCTGGTCAGGGAGCAGTTGTTCAGCTCATGTCACACCCCAGTTCATCTGGAGTTTTCCTGTGGGGAGAAGACAGGGTTGCACCTGCCTGGTCCAGGGCTGCTCTACACAACAGTGGGCAGGGAAACAACAGGAAGACAGTTTTAGACGAGCACAGGCATCTGTCCTCAGTGGAAGAATGTGGCAGCTAGAGACTCCTGGACAGCAGATCACAAAGAACCTGGCTGATTTAAAGAAAAGAGATTAAGACTCTGACCCTGAAGACTGCCCATTCAAAGGAAGCCGATGGCTCTCCAGGAAAGTGGTCGTACCTAAATAAAGTCCCTTCATTCAGTAATCGACAGCAGACAGTGCTGTCCCCAAGGCCTCAAGCGGTCTGCCTGTGACGTGAAAGGCAGAGGAGGAAATGCACCTGGAGGACACGGGAGCATTGTGCTGTGACCACCTGGAGGACACGGGAGCACTGTGCCGTGACCAGCTGCCACCACTTTTGCTGCTGTGTCTCCCCCACCTCAGTGGACTGTGCTCTCAAAGAGTGAGAAAACTCTTGTTTTCTAAAGTCACTGTTTTGGGTCAGATACTTGGTTACAGATTTGAGAAAAGTAGCTAACACAGTGGTAGACCGCATCCGTAGCAGGTGCCAGTCCTGTGCTCCACGTCTAGAACCACAAAGACAGTAACAAACAAAAACCCCAAACAGGAAACCCTGCTTAGCAAAAACCCTAATGCAGACAAAAGGCCTTTCGTCACTATGAGTTATAAACAGCTGTGCAGGACGCATGCTTCCTACACCACAAGCACAGACACACGAGTGATGTGCAGCTCTGAGCTTCTGATGCCTGTGACCGCACTGGGATATAGGATTTTTCAGCTCCATTATAACCTATGGCACCACCGTGGCACATGTGTCTGACTGAATAGTGCGTGGTGGGGCCTGGTTGTGCGTTCTCATTAGTACAGAAAAGGCCAGGCAAACAGAAACTAAGGCAAACATTAACTTGAGAGAAAACAGAAGGTGTTCAGGAAAGGAGCAGCTCTCATACTATACCGGACGGTTCAGCTGATTCCGTGTTAAGGAAAGAAGCAACTCTCATACTATACCGGATGGTTCAGCTGATTCCGTGTTCAGGAAAGGAGCAGCTCTCATACTATACCAGATGGTTCAGCTGATTCCGTGTTCAGGAAAGAAGCAGCTCTCATACTATACCGGACGGTTCAGCTGATTCTGTGTTTACACAGCACGATAATGCCTGTACTAGTAACGACCTAATCAGAATTGCAGTATATATCAGGAGGCGGGTGGGAAAATGTTTGAGAAAGTATGAATCCCTCATTACCACAGTGAATTTTCAAGCTTGAAATTCAACAAGGAGGGCTATAATAAGCATGCTACTCCGAAGCACAGATGGTACGAACCCAGACAATCAACTGAAATAATTGAGAGTATTTGTGCAGAGAAGCAGGAGCTAGGGAATACTAGGTTGGAAGGCTGTGAGGCTGCTGGCTTGCCATATCTGTGGGGTTTGTATCCTTGGGCTCAACTATCATTAGACAAAAAGTCCTAAAAAAAAAAAAAATTGTAGGCTGGAGAGATAATGCAGCTGTTAAAGGCTAAGGCTAACCAAAACATCAGGGAAAATCTGTACTGCGTGTGTACATTTTACCTTGTCCTTACTCTCTGTGATGGTTAACTTTGACCATCAACTTGACAGGATCCAGAACTGCCCAGGAAACAATCTCTGGGCATGTCTGTGAGGGAGCTTCTCAACTGAACTGAGGTGGGAAGACCCACCCTAAATTTGAGAGGCAGCATTCCACGGCTGGGTCCTGGACTGAATGGACTAGAGAAAGACAGCTGAGCACTGACATTTTTCTGCGTTTCCTGACTGGGACACAGTGTGACCAGCTGCCTTACAGTCTTGCTTCTGTGTTCTCCCTGCCATGATGGACTTGCACCCTCAACCCTGAGCCCAAGTAAACCTTCTTCCGTCAGTTGCTTTCGTAGAGTATTTTGTCAAAGCAGCAGAAAGTAACTAATATATCCTCTAAAGACTTGGTATAGCAGAACTTACTTTATAATTTAAATATAAATAAAAAAATTCTTTTACAAAGTATGGCAACTATTTACACAAAACTTACATTGTAAGATGGCTTAAAGTATAGAGTAGGCTGCATGTAAACACTACGCTGTTTCATCTGAGGGACCTGGGCACCCATGAATTTTAGATTTTGATGTCCTTGGAGATTCTGGGACCAATTTCTGTACCGAGGGAAACCTGGTTTCACAAACCCACAGGTTCAGAATCATAGGCATAATGATGGCAATGTAATTTAAGATTATAATCAAAACGTCTTGGTTGTTCAGAGCTGAGACTTCCCCTAAGAACACAACTGTACGGGTGCGGAGGCTCAGCTGCACAAACTGGAAAGTCCAACAGATCACCTACTTTTGATGCCTTTCTGGCTTTGAGGGCCCTCACGAGCTCCCCTTGAACGGCTATGCTGTTGAACAGCTCCAGTGGAGAGGTATAAGACTCGCCATTGGACACGTCTGCCATCTTCTAGAATGTAGGCCCGTGGCTGGCTGCTGGGTAGAGGACTTCTTCAGAAGCTGAGAAAGGACTCTGTAGCGAAAGGGAATTGGGAGACATTACTAGGTCACTACAGCTGATTTTCCTTTCTAGTACCTCGTCTTTCAGTAAAAGATGGTGTGGGGCTGGAGAGATGGTTCAGGAGTTAAGAGCTCCTCTTGCTCTCCCAGGATTTGGTTCCCAGCAGCCACATTGTGGCTAACAACCTGCAACTCTAGCTCTAGGGAATCACCCTTTTCTGGCCTCCACAGGTACCTACACATGGCATACATTCACACAGACACAGCATAAATTTTAAAAAAAGGGTGAAGTAAGTTATAATAGAGAAACTGGATAAAATAACATTTATAAGGAGAAATTTGTGGCCATAAAAGTCATTATAAATGATGATGAAGATTGAAGGAGTTTCTGGGATGTACTGACTTGAGGCCTGCAAAGAAGGGTACTCTTGGGAAACAGTAAATTGGCATGTGGTGATGCCTCTGTCCCCACCTAGTGCCCAGAAGAGAGGGATTTGTGTTTGCTCAGAAGAAATACTAACGTGCTTTAAGGCTACATTTACCAGGGCTAAGGACATTTTGCAAAGTATTATTTGTTTTTAATCTTTGCTGCCTTGGGAGGAGTTCTCAGGCCTCTGCAGCAATAAACAGCTCTGCTGAGCAAATGGCTCAACAAGCTGGCCAGCTGCTCTGTTCTCACGCAGCAAGTCTGGACAGGGCCTTCTCCCTTCTGGGTTCCACACTAGTAAGGACTGTGTGCCTGTCATCCCACATGCTGGCTTTCTTCACTGCAAGTCTTTGGGAAGGTGTGCCTGTCATTATTTTCTGTGACACAGGTTCAATGCAAGGAGAGATTGGGCCACCCGGAGTCACTTCTTGGTCAGTCACTTTCTCCTTGTCTATAAACGGGCGCCTCCAAGAACCTTTTCACCTACATCAAGGGCTGTTACAAGAATTAAACAAGAAAAAATGACACAGGGAGCATTCTCATAGTATAAAGCAATATGTAAACACACCACGAGTTTTGTTACTATTTATTTTTAAAAATTTTATGTGTATGAGTATTTTGTCTGCATGCATTTAAGTACACCAAGTGCATGCAATGCTCACAGAGGCCAGAAGAGGGCGTTGGATCCCCCTGAAACTTGAATCACACAATGTTGTTAGCTGCTATGTGGGTTCTGGGAACTGAACCTGGGTCCTCTGCAAGAGCAGCCAGTGTTCTTAACCGTGGAGCCAGCTCTCCAGCCCCACAAGTCTTGTTATTACCCCAGGTTTGTAAGCTAGGATTTCAGAGCTCCACTGAACTCCAGCTTCACCTTATGATGCCACAACACCTTGAGTGAGCAGCAGCAGCGTGTGCCTGAGTCTGTAACACTGAGCGCTCCTGACCCGGCCTTGGTCTAAGCCTCTTCCATTCACAAATTTGATTCTTACCAGAACCTGTTCTCTCCAGCTTATGGGGATACAGAGGCAAGAGACTGCAGAGAAGGGGCACAAGCTCAACTGGTCTTAGCCACTGTGCATCTACTGAGCTCTCGTAATTAAACACACACTGAGATGTCATTTATTTTTAATTATCCACTTGTTAAATTTGTTTAATGGCACCATCTTCATACAAGCCAATGAACTTCTAACTCTGAAACCAAGATGGGACAGCAGGCGGCTTCTCTCCTTCCCACCTGGAATCATTTCAATTCCCAGGAAGGGAAGTCTGGTGAGAAACTGTCTTGGAGAGAAAGCTCTTATGGCCTAGGGAGGACGAATGCGGAGCACCTTTTCCCAGTGCAAGGGACTGAGGAGAAATCCCTGCTCCCCCTTTCTCTCTGGGGATATTTGCCCATGTCAAGTAACAATGAATGCACTAAAAGTGACTTCAACCACAAACGGTCAAGCATCACTCAGCCTGGAATTCCCGAGCCCCTCAGAGCTGGTGTAACTTTACATGCTCTGTTAGTAGACAAGAGGTTCCTAACTCAGGGAAACCAGACGAACCCGAGGTTCACATCCAGACCATCAGGCTCTGATGTCAAAGCCCATCTGAGTCCCCGCTGTTCCCCTGCCCAGGCTGTCTTCCCCTCCTTTGTTAAGACATTGCTGCTACTTTCCAATGGAAACTTCAGCTCTTTATAGCTTTTCCCAATCCTTGCACCTCTGGGGTCAAGGGAGACAATCTCTGTATGATCCTTGAGCATGCTCATCCTACCCTTATTAACACAATTACACTGTGGGTGAGTTACTCATGTCTTCAGTACAAGGAAGGCACACACCATTTTTTTTCTCCCATGTACTTGGTAGATCGTTAGCTCCTCAATAAACATTTACTGAATGAACGACTCTCCTGAGTCAGTAAGTTTAGGGTTACTAGGGGTCCTTATAACATTGTTGTAAGTATTGGTCCTAGCTGGGCATGGTGGTATGTACCTAATTCCAGCCCTCAGAAGGCTGAGGCAGGAGGATTAAGCAAGTTTGAGGCCATCGTAGGCTACAGAGCGAGTTACTGAGTTCAAGGTCAGCCTGAGCTACATAGAAAGACCTTGCCTCAAAATTCCCATTCCCCCAGAAACAACCCCCTCAAACCTCTAAACAAGCATAAAAACCTATCAGTGCTTGTTCTAGTTGAGGGTTGTTTCAGTCAGGACTCTAGACTACCTCTAGTTTAACACCTTGGCACTGAGCTGAGCCTTCTCAGATCTAGAAGAGCCAGGCAGGCTGCCTGGGGTCCCCTCATTTGGTTTCTTCACCCACTGCTAACAGCTGCTGCTGTTCTGGCCCCTCCTGGACTTCCTTCTGCTTACCCTGCTCTTCTACAAATGAGTAGCTCTGCATGGAATGTGACAGGGAGCTGAAGTTCTCAAGTCCTTGAGTCGGACCAAAATCAAGTGTTGTTCAAAATTACTTCCAATTCCTAGGGAACATGCCAAGAAGGACGAGTGAGCCTGGGACAGCCTCCTACCACAGCAGAGCTGGTGACTGGTACAGGATTGGCTGGAGGAACGGGGCCTACGCTCAGCCCCCTTGTTGGATGGAAAAGCACATATCTTTAAACATTAGAATCCCAATGTGAAAGACCTACGTACCTAAATCAGACGGAGGGAACAGTGGGAGACGTTTCTGTCTCATGATCACTAAGCATTTACTTACTGCATAGGCATTATTCATCTTGTGTGTGTGTGTGTAATCCCAATGTGAAAGACCTACGTACCTAAATCAGACGGAGGGAACAGTGGGTGACGTTTCTGTCTCATGATCACTAAGCATTTACTTACTGCATAGGCACTATTCATCTTGTGTGTGTGTAGGGGGGGCAACTTCTTGAGTGAACACTCTGGGAATGGTCAAAGACAAGGAAAACATCTTCCTCATTTCATGCATTTATCTGTTTGTGGTGTGAAGAGTCGTCCCCATCTCCCTTTGTTTCTTTGTTTGCTAACTTTTAGAATTACGTTTAACTTCAGAGGTTTTGGCCTGGAGTTCATCAAGAACCTCTGAAACTACATCAAAGTTTGTATATTCACTGGATGTACATAGTTTTAAGCAGAATGTCCAGGTCACTGTCTTTTCAACAAAGCTGAGATGCCAAAAGGCTGAGGACCACTGTTTTAAGGCTCATCAGATTAACTGCTAACCATGAGCATCTTTTTTCAGGTAACTATTTTCTCTAACTAATGCAATCTGGAAAAAAAGAAAAGAAGTTAAAACCAGGAAGTAAGCTATTATCCCCTGTAACAAAAGTATTGGGAGTATACAAGTCAAACTGCCCAACCTAGCAGAAGTCTCTCTTTGATAAGAGGCCTACAGGGGCTCTACCACTCTAATACCCTCTGAGAGCTTTAATCTGTGGCTCACTGGAAATAGCCTGTTGTTCTGGATGAACATGGCAGAGAAAGTGGATACATTACAGTGTTGGGAGAAAGAATGGAAAGGACTTGGGCCATAACAAAACCATCATTGATAAGATACTACAGTTTGTGGACGGTAGTTTCAAGACCCTGGAGGCAGCTTGGAAAGGGAGGTGGCCTAGGAAAGTTTCTAGATACCTCAGGACTGTGGCCTCAAAGAGTGGGTGATAATTCTTTGGACTGGAACATTCCCAGAGGGCATGACAATAACCTCCTTAGAGCAAGCAGTTCTTCACATTCCCCAAATTTGGGGATAGATTATGCTCCACTTAAAGAAAGGTTATTTCCCCATTCAAAAATGATGAGGATGGAACCCAGAGCCTGGAACATGCTAGGCAAATCCTTTACCAGCTGAGCTACACCCTCAAGCTGCCTCTGAACAAACGTGTGTGTGTATATGTGTGTGTATGGAGAGAGGAGAGAGGAGAGGAGAGAGAGAGAGAGAGAGAGAGAGAGAGAGAGAGAGAGAGAAATTGATTTACAATGCCAGACATCAGATACTTTTGGGCATCACACTAATAATGCCAACATATTCAGATGTTGATGATTTAAGCAGGCCAAATCAGCAAAACCTCTGAAGAGCAAGCTGTGAATGAAAACAGGCAGCTGGGCACCCACACCTACTCCTTATGGAACAGGGAATCACTGGAACTCTGGTCAACCAGATGAAATCAATGCATGCACCACACCCCAATCTTGACAGTTCCTTCTCCTCAAAATGAGGTTTCTAATACTTTGCTAAAATGCAGTTAGAAACAACGGAAAACAAGCACCAAGCCTGGCCAAAGTGGAAATACATACCTGGGCTGTGGAGACATCATAGAGGTCAACCCTAGCATTTGAACAGCTGAGAACGATCAGCCCTGGCAGAGGGGTCTTTACTACTCTTTCAGTTTCCTTTTCAGAAAAGGCTCGTCTTTCTTTCCTGCCTTACTCAACCCTTCAGTGACTTAAGGGTTTCTGAGAAACCACCTCGGTTCTCAGAAACATTTTAGCCTCTTGACCGACCTCCTTAATGAGCAAGTCCAGCAAGGGGCGGGGTCTACGACTCCTGAATCCAGTGGTCCTGAGGAGCTCACAGTCATTGCATCAGCCACTCTTTCCCCTTCAAGTTGGCCGCCATGTGACCTCCCTGCTCTCTTCCCCCCGCTCCTCAGCATCATCGCAATCGTGTTTTTATGTGCAGTGATGGGGAAGGCAGGAAGGGCAGCGTGTACATGGCCTGCAGCTATCGTGTTCTGAAGCGGGGTACTCAGCGGAATCATAGCCCTGAAGTCAGAGAGCCCTGACTTTCAACGCTGAACACACACTTGTTTTGTTTGAAACCGTTGGCGAGTGACTTTACTTCTTTGGTCCTCCCTAGGCTTCCTCATCTGTGAAATGGGCACAAGGAGGCTTCCTAACACTCCGTGGAGGGGACTGCCTGAGACCCTCCAAGGTAACGCTCCTGGATCAAAGCCAAAAGGAGGCGCCTCTCTTCGAGGAAGGGGGGGTAGGAGTCGAAGGCAGTAGGTCTGCGGCGACCCCGGAGCCGCAACGGCCCTGGCGGTGCTAGGGCCGGGCGGATGGCAAGCCGGCTCGGAGCAGGACACCGGGGCCCGGAGCCCCGGTCGCCCCGGGAAGCCAAGCCCCGGCGCCGCCCCGCGGCCTCCCCCTCACTTACCGGGCCAGGGTCCCGCCCGGTCCGTTAGTGCCGCCGGTTCAGCCACAAGTTACCTCCTGCGTGTCCGTGGAAACACGGTCCGGCCGGAACAACTTCCCGTCGCGACTCGTCACCATTGGATGTCCGCCTGGGGGAGGGGCAGAACACGTCTCTGATTGGCTGGCGGCACTGGCGTCGCGGCGGAACGCCACTGGGCGGCCCGAAGGCGGGCCGGACTGCTGTAGCGGAGTACCGAGCGCTTCCGGCGTGTGGTGAGCGGCGGGCCGGGTCGGGAGGGGCTGGGCCAGGCTGCGGCCGCGCGCTGATTCCTGCTTCTCTTCCTTTTTCTTCCTTGCGTTTCCCCTTCCTTCCGGGAGCGCCGTGCTCTGAGTTCTTGATCCCTTCCTGACAGCGCGGCTGCCTTTCTTGCTGCGTTCAAAACCCGGGGCTGGTGGTACCTTGCTTGTTTTTTAGAGTAGGTAACCGGGAAGTGCTTGTCGAATGGGACTATCCTATTTCCTCTACTTCCTTAGCACCAAGTCCCTCCAGGTTGCAGTCTTCAGATATGTCTAGACTGAGGCTGCTTGAAAGGTGAACACACAGGAACACACAGGACGCCCTGCTCTATATGTCTGTGCCCTGCTTAGTTTAGTTTTTTTTTTTTCCCTCCAATATTCGTACCCCTTTCTCCATCTGATTTCTCTTGGTTTAGCCCTTGAAAAAAAATTAAGATATTTAAATACTTTATGTGTATGAGTGTATTGCCTGTATGTGTGTAAATGCACCATGTGCATTCAGTGCCCATGTAGGTAAGAAGAGGGGGGTCGGATATCCTGGAACTGGGTTACAGATGGTTGTTAGCCGTCATGTGGCTGCTGGGAACCAAACCCAGGTCCTCTGCAAGAGCCGCTAGTGCTTTTAACAGCTGAACCATCTCTCTGGGCCACTCCCTTGAAAATTTTTTGACTTAGGTTCAAAAGACAGCAGTCATCTCCTAAATTCATTCTCTCAGCTCTCAGTCTTCTGCATTATTGTGTTTTCTTTAATCATCCTGACTCCTCTCACCCAGTTCTGTTGTTTAGTCTTGGCACTGTGATCACCTCTGTTCCCTCAACCTCTCCCGAGTGTCACTCAAGCGTTTTCTTCCCTCTGAGGCCTGTCTCAATCCACCTGTAAGAAGGTGCAGCCCTGAGTCTAGCTACTCTACTCTCTTATTTTTTTGCTTTTGAGTTCTCATGCCATGACATCCTCTGGCTTACTAATGGTGTGAGGTGTGTGTTTCCTCACGGCCTGTGAATGTGCTGAGAACAGGGCATCATTTACTGTTTTGCCTACTGTGGCAGTGTTCCTGGTGTTGTCTGTGGGACTTGGTGAGAAAGCAATGCTCTGCAAGTGTTTGTTGAATGAATGAATGAGAGCTACTTCTGGCGGAGTGCATTAGGAGTCCTGGTTAGGAATCCAGCCTCATGCATTCATTTCAGGCATCGCTCTGCGCTTTATTAGTGGAGCTAATGAGCCACACTGCTCGCTGATCTTTCACCATGGGTCTTTCTTGTGCGTCAGTCCCTGCAGATAATGGTATTGCTGAGAATTCACCCTTTCAGCTGAGCTACAGGTAGCCTAGTGGTGAGAATCTGGTGAGTTCCATTTGACAGGTAGAGGCCACTGCTGGGTACTTGCAGACCAAATCATTTGCAGAGTGTGGGTCCATAGTATGTAATTAGTTCCCCATGTGATCTTAGTTCTGTTGGATAGGGGTTGACTAGTTTTAGAACTCTTATTTAGAAAATGACTTGCATGCAAACACTGCATGGTGATGGAGCTCTTAGGTGAGTGGTGCCATTTGGGGGAAAGGTGTGGAAGGGGTTCTGCCAAATGGTCAATTTCAGGGGATGTTGAAACCCAGTGTATGACTGGGCATGATGGTGCATGCCTATGATACCAGCACTCAGGAGGCTGAGGCAGGAAGATTGTGAGTTTGAGGCCACCTTGGCTTACATAGTGAGACTTTGTCTTAGAACAAAAATATGGGGCTGGAGAGATGGTTCAGTGGTTAGCCGTACTGTATAATCATGAAGACTGGAGTTTGAATCCCAGCACCCACACAACAGGACATTTCATATACCCTGTAACCCTAGGGGTTCCCAGGGGTCTGAGATAGGGAGACCCTGCCTCAAAGGAATAGGCAGGGAGTGACAGAGGACACCCGATGCCCTCTTCTGACCTCTTTGTGCTCGAGTGCACAGATGTGCACACCTGCACACACATGTATACACTCACACAGATGTATACATACATAAACAAATCGAAAAAAACCCCCATCATGAACGTGGTGAGGCACACTGGGTTTGCTTGGGGATTTTGGAAGTTGGTCATGGCATAGGCTTCTGTACTGTTCCATCCCGCTCTGTTGGCTGTGGCATGCTCAGCACCCATATTTTCTTCCTGCCTGTGCTCTCTGCTCTCTGTACAGAATTAAAATATTGTATCTAGACCAAAGTACTTTTTACTGAGAACTAGCTGGTAATAATTTATGATGGCTAAGAATTCCAGGAAGAATTTTTAAAGGAAATTCAATACTGTGTGACTATGTGCATTTGGGGTGAAATAAGCAAATTTGGATCCCATGGGCAGAATTGTTTCTGCCACAATTGGTTAGACTGGTGCTCCTGGACCTGGTCCTCGGCTTTGTGCCCAGGCAAGTGCTCTACCACTGGTCTACATCCCCAGACACTTTGTATTGGAGGCAGGGCCTTGCTGTGTATTCCAGGGTGGCCTTGAACTCGTAACCCTCCTGTTTCTGCTTCATTAGTGCTAGATGTACAGGTGTGCCATGCTACCTGGCCCCTTGTCGTCATTGTCATCTTCCTCATTTCTTCAACATTTTCCTCCATCCCCTCCTTTCTTCTTCCTTTTCTGCTTCACTGCTTCACAGTGCTGAGGACCAAACCAAGATCCTTGAATCTATTAGGCAAGTACTTGTACTTTGCAAGCAATCTACATCCCCAGACCCATGTAGGTTTCCTTTTTTTTTTTTTTTTTTGGTCTTTTTGAGACAGGGTCTCCCTGTAGCCCCAGCTGTCCTGGAACTCACTATGTAGACCAGGCTGGCCTTGAACTCACAGAGATCCGCCTCTGCCTCCCAAGTGCTGGGACCACAGGCATGTGCCACCACGCCCAAGGTTTCCATTTTTTATTAAAAATCTTTTTTATGTATATGTGCATTTCCCCTGCATGTATGTAAGTGCACCTTGTGTGTAGTGCCCAAGGAGGCCAGAAGAGGGTGTGGGCAGAAGAGGGTGTGGGATCCCTTGGAACTGGAGTTACAGACAGTTGTTAGCCACTGTGAGGGTCCTAGGAACTGAACCTGGGCCCCTTGCAAAAGCAGCCAGTGCTCCTAACTGCTGAACCATCTCTCCAGCCCTGGCTTCCATTTCTTAAATGACAACTTCTAGTTAAGTATGCTTATTGTATAAGAAAGCCTTTATTTTTAAAAAGTTATTTAGATTGTTAGATAATATGTAATGTTTAAATCAGGGTAAATATGCCTGTCTTCTCAAATATCACTTCTTTATGTTGAAAACATTTGAAATCCTTTCTTTTAGCTTTTGGAAATGAAGCTTTTATTTTTTTTTAATGTGTTTGGGCTTATAAGATTTGAAGTGTTAGACTTTTCAAGGTGTGACATGCTTGCTTTTAACTGCGTAAATACTCTCCAATGCATGGCAGCTGACTCTTGACTTTGTTAAGTTCTAGGAAGTGGCCTCTGCACCTCTTCCCTCCATGGCCTCCCTGGTGGCTTATGATGATTCTGACTCAGACACAGAGTCAGAAACGGCCGGAAGTGGGAGTGCTCCTGGCCAGGCGAATGATGCTTCTGGTGAGACCAGACCTCCTGGGCAGGTGTTTGCATCTGGTGTGACAAAAGAGGAGGCAGAGCACAGAGGGAACAGTCCTTGTGAAGACCGTGGGGAGCATCGCCTGCCATTGGCTTGGCTCTGGAAAAGTGACCCAGGATCTTGTCCCAGCCAACGACTACAGTGGCCTGCGAGGGAGCCTGATAATGCCTTTCCCACCAACGAGCCTCCTCGCCCTTCTCTGTGGATGAACCGAGCTCCGGCTGGCCATGTGCCCCTGGCAGCTGCCTGCTTAAAGCCAGTCAAACCTGCCTGGGACTCTTTCAGATCATCTCCACATGCTCAAAACAAAACTGAAATCACAGCTAGAAACCCCAGCTCTTTTCAGAAGAAAAGAGGTGAAGATTGTGTGGTTCCATATACCCCCAAGAGACTGAGGCACCTGCAGGTACCGAGTCCAGAAGCAGGTGGGGGCAAAGATGTGGACCCCCAGGGAACCCCTGTAGGGTGTGCCCCAGCCCCTCTCTGTGTGGCTCCCACAGTGTCCGAGTTGATTCAACCATATTTGAACAGTCAGTACAGAGAGACCAAAGTCCCCAGGAAAGTGCTTTTCCATCTGCGAGGCCACAGGGGCCCCGTCAACGGCATTCAGTGGTGCCCAGTCCTTTCCAGGAGTCATATGCTTCTCTCCAGTTCCATGGATAAAACCTTCAAGGTAAGATGAGTGCAAACAAGTCTCAAGAGGAGTAAGCTGCCAGAATATTTGACTGATTACAGTAAGGTAGTGGGTGGTCACAGGCTGCATCTTTCTTTTTTGAAATTTCTGTCATTCTCTTTAGTGTATTCAAGAGAGTATTCTCTGTGGTCAGCCTTGGATCATTGGCTCTTCCTGCCCCATGCTTTTTCTTCCTCAATGCTGCTGTGCTAGGACACCAGAGTGTTGAGTAAGTTCTAATATGACCAGAAGATAGAAGTCATATTTATTTTATGACAATACATTGTTTTATCCTCTGAGCATGTCATAATTCATTTCGCTTCCTATTAGATGTTTCAGTCTCCTGTGGTGGCACACTCCCTTGAATGGTGCCACTGTAAGCATGCTGTTCCTTACATTTTTATTGTCTTATTGTCCCTGAGACTTCTTTATATTGGGTCCCTGGAAGCAGGAGCCCAGGCTTGGCTGCATGGCTCGTGATCCCTACTGAAGAGGGACCCTGGTATGAGAATCATATCTTAGCATGTGCTCACCAACACTTACTGATTTGCTCACTGATTTTTAATGTTTTGCTAATATGCTATGGTACTTCATTGTGCATTACTTCAAATACCCATGAAGAGTAATTAGCACTCCAGTTTTGATAATCTGGCTTTGGAGATTTTAAAAACAGACAATTAGGGCTGGGGAGATGACTTAGTCAGTACAGTGCTTGCCTTGCAAGTGTGAGGACCTGAGGTTGGATCCCCAGCCGGGTGGTGTGCACTGTAATCCCAGTGATGGCAAGATGGGAGGTAGAGACAGGTGGATCCCTGGAAGCTCATGGGCCAGCCATTCTGGCCTGGGTGCTGACATTCCCGAACAATGAGAGATGGAAAGCACCTAAGGGCTGACATTTGAGGTTGTCCTCTGACCTCCATGTGTGCTGTACACACACATACACACACACACACACACACACACACACACACACAGAATGAAAACAAGAGAGATGTTCTTGTAAATTTGATGCCAGTGGAATCAGATACTTGTTTTCAAGCAATGCAGTGTGATAGTTTAACTGTGACCTGTGACTCTAACTGAGGGCTGGCAAAATAAATAAAGCTGAGATGTGGAAACAGATAAGCTACAGGGGTGACAAATGCTGATATTTACCTAGTGGCTCTGGGATCCACTGACTCGCTGGACTACAGCCTTCTGGGAAGAATATGCCTTCCAACTCGCCCTACCCCAGAGCAGCTGGCCTTGGCCTCTTGAGTCTGATATTTTGTTTGTAAAAGGTGTAATTATACCTGTGTCATGTGATCACTTGAGACCTGTGCTTTAACAAGCACCTAATATATGCTAGGGAGATGGCTCAGTCTGTAAAGTGTTTGCAAACACAAGGACCTCAGCTTGATTCCCAGAACCCACATGAAAAAAGTGACTGCATACTTGTAAACTCAGTGTGGTGTAGATGGAGAGAGGTGGATCACTGGGGTTTGCTCACCAGGCAGTCTAGTGGAATGAGGTGGTGAGAGACCCTGTATCAAAAAACAAGGTGGATGGTGCTTGAGAAACAACAGCTGAAATTGTTGCCTGGCCTTCACACACACATACACACGTACACACACACACACACACAGAACAAGGAAGCACCCATTGCAGAACTGGACCCCACAGATGCTCTGGAAATCACATACCAAAGTCCTTTTATCTGCAAGTTATATTTTGAGTGCCCCCTGCCCAGGAGGCGTTTTCTCAGATGAAGAGAGGAAGCTCCACGTGCTTACAAGTGAGCCAAGTCTCTCAGGTGGCCATTTGTAGGTCACACGGAACTCTTGTTTGGCTCTAGCCAGGTTGACGGGTCCTGTTCAGTTTCCAGCCAGAGTTCTGGCTTCATTAACCCAGGCTTTGGTGCTTCTGACGTGTCAGGCTACGTAGGCTCTGCAAGGAGAGTTCTGTGTCCCGGGAGTGGGTTATGGCATTCTTCGACTGACCCATAGTCCCGGCTTCTCACCTCTCTGTCCTGAGAGCCTGATGCTGGGGTTAAAGGCATGTACCACAACACCTGGCTGCCCCTGTCTTTAAGCTCACCTGATTGCTGGGACCTTCTTTTTCTTTTTTTGCCCTCTTCAGGGTTCTTCTCCTTTACTTCTTGCCTGGCTAGTGCCTACTGAGCAGTCAAGACCTGGCTCAGAATGGGTCTGATGAACAGTGTTTGTGCTCTGGCCTTGGGTTGGGCAGTGTGCCAGGAACAGGAGATGCATTGAGCCAGAGGGTCATGTCCTTGTTGTTGGGGACTGGACAGTTGACAAGCTGTTTTTATGTCCAGCCTCCCCTTTCCCAGCATCCCCCTGTGGACTGTCCTCTGTTTGAATGCAGAGGTCATCCTTGGCTTCCTCCCCATCCCTCGCTATCCAGGAGGGGGCAGCACTGCACAAGGCAGAGGGGGCCTAAGCTGGGGTGGACCAGCTCTCCCACAGCTTTGTGTTCTTGGCAAGGTCTGGGGGTTCTCAGCAGGGACAGATGCCAGCATGTCCTATGTCCATAGCACCCATATGCTCCTGGCCAGTGGTGGGAGCTTAACTGTGGTTCTAGAGTGGGCACTGCAGAGTCTTAGAGAGATGGGAGGGCAGCCTGCAGATGTGGGGAGCACAAGCCAGCAGAGATGAAGAAGGTTGCCGTGGTTATAGTGCCTTGCTGTTAGTGTCCTGCCTTCTGGAGAGATCAGGTGGTTCATATGTGACCTACAGAAGCCCACCTGCCACCTGCCTGTGCAGTGATGGGAAGAGGCAGACCTGAGCCCTGCGGGAGTGGTCTCTACCTGAAGGTGGAGTACTCTGTGGGTCCCACCATCAGAGCTGAACAGTGTGCTTAGCCTGGGTCACTGTTGGTCAGGAAATTTCAATTTCTTGAACAGACATATGTATCCCCAAGTAGGCTAGTTTGGTCAGCTGGTATGCCCAGGGATCTTTGCCTCCCCAGTACTGAGTTTACAAGTGTGTGTCACTGTGCTTGGCTTTTTCACATGGGTTCTGGGGCTTGAACTGCATGTAAAGCAGGCAGTTTACTGGTTGAATCATTTCCCTACTCCCCAGCTCTCATGATGATTTTTTCTCAAGTCTTTTAATCCATCTGTCCATCCATTCATCCATCCACTTATGTATTTATTGATAGTGTGTGTATGTATGTGCATGTCACGGTGTGTGTGTGTGTGTGGAAGTTGGTGCTTCCTTGAGGACAACTTGAGAGAGTTGGTGCTCCTATCATGTGGGCTCTGGGGATTGAACTCAGGACACTGGGCTTGGTGTGAGTGCTTTTCCTCACTGAACCATCTTTCTGTCCCCCATGGTTTAAAAAAAAATGTATTGAATATTTCTAAGTTTTTAGAAAATAATATTTTATTGATTCTTTTAAAAATTTATTTTTATTTTATGTGCATGCATGTATTTCTTGCATGTAGGTAAGTGCAGCCATGTTGTGCAATGCCTTCAGAGGACAGAAGAGGCTCCTGAATCCCCTGGAACTGGAGTTAGGACGGTTGTTAGCTGCCATGTGGGTGGGTGTTGGGATTTGAACCTGGGTCTCGCACAAGAACAGCCAGTGTTCTTAACCGCCGAGCCATCTCTCAGACTCTTTGGGGATTTCATATATTCTTTCATATATTCTTTGAGAATGCTATATTTTGATTGTAGTCAGCTATCTTCCCATCTCCTCTCAGATCTACCCCCACCTCCATATTGCCCCCAATTTTGTTTCTTTTTATTTTAAATCCCATCACGTCCACTTTGTGTTTCCAAAATACATTTGGGTGTGGGAGAATTATTTTTCTTTAAGGATGTGAGCTTCTGGTGGTTTTTAGCAGAAAGATGAGCTGGAGCTTTGGCTCCGGGTGAAGATGAATGTGCCAGGACTGATTTGACAACTCATGGCCAGAAGAGGGCGCAGTTGGCACAGCTTGGGTTGGCAGGAAGCCTGGGTTTAGGACTGTGTAGAATGCTGTTCTTGTGTTCACCTGTCTCCAGGAGGCATGTGGGCTTCAGGTTATGACGTTAGTATGGCACTCTCTGACTGCCTGGTAGCTTGAGGGAGTGCCCCTACCCTGTCTAGTCCAGGGGTGGTAGAGGAGGTGGCTTCAGAGACAACTCTAAGGAGTTGGATTAATGCTGCCCATGCCTGCTAGGATCAGTGTCTCCTAACCCTCTTTTCCCTGAGAGGTCTTGAAAACCTAGGCTTCTGTAAGGTACAGAGGTGGACAGTGAGCTAGAACCCTTTGTTTTAATAAGATGTTTGACAGTGTCAGGGATTTGGGTTGCTTGGCATAATTGCTGGGTTTTTTGTAAGTGAACTTTGAGTAACATGCAGAATGGGTAACAGGGACCTGAGGGGCTGTGATGGAAAGATGGATGAGGGCCTGGGGAGTCCAGGTGGGCCCCGAGGAATGAAGTCCTTCCCTATGCCTTCAGTGACATGCAGAATGGGTAACAGGGACCTGAGGGGCTGTGATGGAAAGATGGATGAGGGCCTGGGGAGTCCAGGTGGGCCCCGAGGAATGAAGTTCTTCCCTACGCCTTCAGCTTGGTATATGGCCGGCTAAGCAGTCATGCTTTTCCTTCCCTGGTGTCAGAGATGTAGATGCACGGTAATAAACCCAGCCCCAGTTTATTTGAGAAGTGGCGCTAATGATTCAGTGTTTGCTGAATCTCTGTGATCAGTAGATGAGGTTGGATGAGAACACCCGGAGTGGCAGCTGGCATGTGGCTGGCACTCTGTGCACTGACTGGGGTCCTGTTATCCAGGGGCTTTGCCCCTTTCCTGCTGGGTGGTGGTGGCGCATTCTGCTTGAGTTGCTTCCTGGGTTGTAAGCTCCATGAGTGAAGGAACCACCCCAGACAAGTTTTTACATTCTCTGCAGCATCTGGCATGAAATTTGGGACATGTTAAGTGATCAATAAAGATTTAAAAACATTTTCTGGATTTTATTGCCTGGCTTTGGGAAGAGATTGTCTTTTGCATGC